CCCCACCCTTGTCTGCTTTCCGGAGGGACCACTCTCTCCGTGACTCCCTTGTCCGCTCCACACTCCCAACCAGCCCCACCACTCCCCGGCATTTTGCCCTGCAACCGCAGGAAGTGCTACACCTGCCCCTACACCTCCCCCCTCACCCCCATCCCAGGCCCCAAGAAAACCTTCCATATCAAACAGACGTTCACCTGCACATCTGCTAATGTGGTAAACTGCATCTGCTGTTCCCGATGTGGCCTCCTGTACATCAGGGAAACCAAGCGGAGGATTGGAGGCCGCTTTGCGGAACACCTACGCTCGGTTCGCGACAAACAACTGCACCTCCCAGTCGTGAACCACTTCAACTCCCCCTCCCATTCCTCAGACGACATGTCCATCCTGGGCCTCCTGCAGTCCCACAATGATGCCACCCAAAGGTTGCAGGAACAGCACCTCATATTCCGCTTGGGAACCCTGCAGCCCAATAGTATCAATGTGGATTTCACAAGCTTCAAAATCTCCCCTCCCCCTACCGCATCCCAAAACCAGCCCAGCTCATCCCCGCCTCCCTAACCTGTCCTTCCTCCCACCTATCCCCTCCTCCCACCTCAAGCCCCACCCCCATCTCCTACCGACCAACCTCATCCCGCCCCCTTGACCTGTCCGTCCTCCCTGGACTGACCTATCCTCTCCCTAACTCTCCACCTACACTCACATTTACTGGCTCCATCCCCGCCTCCTTGACCTGTCGGTCTCCTCTCCACCTGTGTGCTCCTCTATCCATCTTCCATCCACCTCCCACTCTCTCTCTATTTATTTCAGAATCCTCTTCCCCTCCCCCATTTCTGAAGAAGGGTCTAGGCCCGAAACATCAGCTTTCCTGCTCCTCTGATGCTGCTTGGCCTGCTGTGTTCATCCAGCTCTACACCTTGTTATCTCAGATTCTCCAGCATCGGCAGTTCCTACTATCTACTGAGGTTAGCTTTCTTTTTAAATCCACCTTTGTTACTGAATTTAAATTCCCCTTGCTGCCATTGAAGACGTATCCCTGAAGCATTGATTACTAGCCCAGGGACATCACTATTGTCTCCAAAAATGTCCAAGTCTGTGGAGAAATGGCACCCATGTTCATTTTATAACTGGCTGGATCCAATATATAGACAATCATTGACCTGCAACATTCATTAACACAAGTTAACACAGTCAATATAATGGATGCAAATCACTGCAGATAATTTCTATAGGAAGGATACACAGGGTAGTTAAACTTATGCTGAAACTTGTTTAGACCATTGTAAACATTTCTGGGGTACTGAGTATAAACCAAAGGTTATCACGGCACTACGGAAGATCCAAAAATTATGGACAAGAATTCATTCATATTAGGACTAAGAGATACAGCGATCAGGAATAGACTGAAAAAACTTGGGTTGCTTTCTCCAGGTTGGTGGCATCGGGGTCTTGGGAATTGCAAATTCTGTTTTGTATTTATTTTCACCTTTTATTTTCAGTGAAGTCAATTAAAATGAAATTCAGGTGCAGCGTAAAACAGAATTCCATTCAAACCCAACTTTGACTCTGTACTCCAACCATTACAACTACCTTCACCTTTCCTGCTGTCCAACACATCATGTCTCTTTTGCTGTTCCTTTGATCTCTCCCTTTTAACGTGCTCAAATCCTACTAAATTTCCATCGTCCTTCAGTTTCTGACGAAAGGGCTTTGTCATGAAACATTAACTTGCCAAGTTCACTGATTATTTCCAGCATTTTCTGTACTTATTGCTTGTGATTAAACCATAAGGAATTCATTTAACTAATGTTGTCAACCCTAGTTGCACAACAAAGGCAGTAAATAGAGTTATGCCTTGACCTAACTAAATGGTAGAACAGGTTTAAGGGACTAAATGGCCTGCCCCTCTCCCTATTACCATGATGAAATGATTACCTACTTCTTAGCCCATCTTCATGGCTATATAGATGGACCAGAGAAAAGACAATTGCTCTCCATTGAGGAGAGAAAGTTATGGAGTCATAGAGTCATGCAGCATGAAACCAGACCCTTCGGTCTAACCAGCCCATGCCAACCATAATCCCAAACTAAACTAGTCCCACCTGCCCATGCTTGGCTCATATCCTTCTAAACCTTTCTTATTCATGTACTTATGTCTTTTAAACAATGTAACTGTACCTGCATCCATCACTTCCTCTGGAAGTTCATTCCACACACAAACCACTCCTGGTGTAAAACAAAAATGCTCCTCATGTCTTTTTTAAATCTTTCTCCTCTCACTTTAAAAATATGCCCCCCCCGCCCCCAGTCTTGAAATTCCTACCCTAGGGAAAAGACACCTGCTATTCACCTTCTCTATACCCCTCATAATTTTATAAACCTCTATAAGGTCACCCCTCAACCTCCTACGCTCCAGCAAAAGAAGTCCCAGCCTATCCGTCCTTTCCTTATAACTCAAGTCCTCCATTCCCGGCAACACCCTGGCAAATCTCTTCTGAACTATCTCCAACTTACTAATATCCTTCCTATAATAAGTTGAGAGAAGACTTGATAGAGGTCTGCACAATTATCAAGCGTCAGGAGAGAAGCTGATCCCATTGGCAAAAGTACTGAGAACCAGGGAACACTGATTTAACGTGCTTGGTAAAAGAACCAATGGCAATAGGAGAAATAATTATTGCATACAAGCGCTTAGGACCTGGGATGCACTGTGTGAGAGCAGGATGGAAACCAATTCAATTCAGCTTTCAAAAGGGAAATGGATAAATATGTGAAAAGAAAGAACTTGCAGGGCTATGGGAGAAGAACGGTGCTGTGGTGGCTATGGGACGAGACTGATTGCTTCTGGGGGGCAGTGGCATGGGCTTTATGGGCTGAATGGACTCTTCTATTCCCTCACCATTCCGGGATTCTTCAGAGGAGCCAAACATGGTCTGTTTTTTTTAACTCCACACTGTCAGCTGTTCTAGCCCAGTACTTAAACCTGCTCCTGGTTAAACTGTATCTGTATAAACATCTCATGTCATTGACAGTCATGGCCTCAAGGACGGAAAACTGGGAGAGAGTGCAACTGAAACAGACGTTCTTAATCAATCCAAGTATTTCAGCATAGCGAAATAAAATATCCATCTTAAGCTGCATCATTTTTCAGCTTTGTATTTTGATCTTTGTAATTGGAGATTTTTGTTCAGTGACATTAATCGAGCCAACATTTCTATTTGAACCCTGAAGTGCTGGCGTTGAAAAGATTTCCTCACATAAACCAACTTGACTCCTGACCAGTGGAATGTAAAACAACATAAGAATTTTTGCATCTGCAAGAGGATAGTTTATAAATTACTTGATGGTGAAATTGCTTTTCTTAGTCATTTAGAAGGACCTTGTCGACATAATGTGTACCACATTTGGGGCGCTTCTCTGAGGATCAGAACTGTTAGCCAAGACCGATACATGAGCCACGATTACAGATGAAAGATGTGATCAATGTGCCAGCCCATCTGGTCCCGTCTGGCAGCACACCATGGAATTCTGATCCATGAAACATTCAAAGGGCTTGGGAGAGGCTTTTCCAAGGCAATAAACTGCAGAAAGACCGGTCATGTTGAAGTTCAAGACCATAATCTCTGCGATCCTGTAAAAGGTTGTTGTGAATTTCTTCACCCAGAGAGTGGAGAGCCTGTAGAATTCACAGCCACAGAAAGCAGTTGAGGCCAAAACATGGAATGTTTTCTAGAAGGAATTAGATATAGTTCTCGGGGCTAAAGGGATCAAAGAGTATGCGGAGAATGTGGGAACAGCTGAGTTGGATGGTCATTGTGAACAGTGGAGCAGGCTCAAAGAGCTGAATGGCCTACTTCTGCTCCTATTTTCTATGTTTCTACAATCAACAACAGCTTGCGTTCATAGCACCTTTAATGTAGGAAATAGCATCCCAAAGCACCATCAGTGGCAGTCCCTCACAGATGAGGATGACTCTAGTTCCATACTCAGGGTGAGTCCGTAGGTGGCTGTACATTCTGATACAGCTACCGCAGGCTCTGTTACACATGGGGCAGGTGGTGGTCATGGGAAGGGATGCGTGTGGCATTGGTGTGGCAGCACGCTCCTTTCACTGCTTTCGCCTGGCATCCATATTTTCCCAGTGGCAAGTCTTGAGATGCTCGATGTCTTCCCCAATTTTCCTCCTCCACTTTGGACGGTCTTGGGCCAGTGATTCCCAGGTGTCTGTGGGAATGCTGCACATTGCCAGTGAGGCCTTGAGAGGGTCACTGAAGTGTTTCCTCTGTCCACTAGGGGCTTGCCTGCCATTTCGAAATTGGGAGTAGAGCTCCTGCTCGGGGAGTCTCGCGTTGGTCATGCAGACGATGTGCCCACCCTATCATAGCCAATCAAGGATGGCCAGTGCCTCGATGCTGGGGATTTGGGCCTGGTCGAGGATGCTGGTGTTGGGTCACCTTTCTTCCCAGCGGAATCACAGGCAGCGTTGATGATACTGCTCCAGTGCCTTGAGGTGTCTGCTGTAGACACTCCATGCTGGAACTAACCGCAGCTCTGTGAGCCATGAGCTCGGCGTTGGATCTAACGTTGTTGTTCTCGAACACCCTTTTCCTCAGGCGGCCATAGGCTGCGTTGGCATCCCAAAGCTCTTCATAGGGTTGGTGAGAAATGGTCATTGAAGCAGAGACGGAGAGAGAAAGAGAGGATGTTAGGTCAGAAGTAAGTTTTAGGGAAGGACCTTGAGGGGAAGAGGCAGAAAGGAGAAGTCTTTTGTAGATGAGAGCTCCACAGGATGGGGTTTAGATGTGGTGGGATAAATAGAGGAGGGGTTGCGTTTTAAAATTCTTTCACAGGAGGTAGTGTCGCTGGCTACACCAGCATTTATTACCCACCCTTAACTGTCTTATTGTACTGCTACTACTCATGTGCTACAGGAACACCCACAGTGCTGGTAGGAAGGGAGTTCTAGAAACAGTGGAGGAATGACAGTGTTGTTCCAAGTCGAGATGGCGTGTGGTTTGGAGGGAACTTGTTGACGGTTGTGCTCCTATGTATTTGTCCTTCTAGATAGTAGGGGTCGAGAGTTTGGGATATGCTGTTAAAGGAACTTTGGTGAGTTGCTGCAGTGCATCTTATCGATGGTACACACTGTTGTTACTGAGTGTCGGTGGTGGATGGACCAGATATTGAAGATGTTGAGGGGACTTGATCATAATGATGAGGAGACCATAAGTGGACTTCTGTCTGGGGCACTGTAGGTGACAAAACAAGGGCAGAAAAGGAACTATTTGGGTTAGGCACTCAGCAGATGATCAGGCAGGTAACTTTTGAGCAAAGTGAGAGTCGTAAAACCATACTGACCCTGGGACATGGAGAGTATGATCAGTCATGTGACGGGCTATGGAGAGATCAAAGAAGAATAATGTACCACAAAATTGATAATATTGGTGAGGCCTTTTTGTGGCACTGAGAAAAGATCGGAAACCAGATTGGCGGGATTCAGATGTGGAGTTATGAGAAAGGGGCTTGTAAATGGGAGATAGCATATGTTTAGTGATTTTCAATCAGAAACAAATTAATCAAGCTAATCTCAGTCATGGTTGCAGCACACCAATTTAAGTTATCATATTATATTAATGACATTAATGTTGCAAATCATGGATTGAATATTGTAATAATGACTATAGTTTCCAGTCAAATTGAGTCGTGATGTCATAACTCATTTCAAAGACTCACTGTTGTAATAATTACTCAAGTACGGCTATCATAGCTCCAATAGTGTCAACCATGGCTCAGTTATAGTCATAGAGTCATACAGCGCAGAAACAGACCCTTTGGTCCAACTAGTCCATGCTGACCAAGTTTCCAAACTAAACTAATCACACTTGCCTGCATTTGATCCAAATTGCTCTAAACCTTTCTTATTCATGTACCCTTCCAAATGTCTTTTAAATGTTGTAACTGTACCTGCATCTATTACTTCCTCTGGCAGTTCATTGCACACACGAACTACACTCTATGTGAGAAAGATGCCCCTCACGTCCCTTTTAAATCTTTCTCTTATCATCTCAAAAATAAGGCCCCTAGTTTTGAACTCCCCTACCCTAGGGGAAAGACCTTTGCTATTCACTTATCTATGCCTCGCATGATTTTATAAGCTTTTATTATGTTGTCTCTCAACCTCCTATGCTCCAGTGAAAAAAGTCCGAGCCTATCCAGCCTCTCCTTATAACTCAAACCCTCCAGTCTTAGCAACATCCTGGTAAATCTTTTCTGAACTCTCTCCAATTTAATAATATCCTTCCTATAAAAAGCACCTTTTACCTTAAGTCAGAGGATTATGGGTTCAAGACTCCACTCAAGACTTAATGAAAAAATTAAGTTTGACAGTGGAGAATTGAAGGAATGTTGAAAGTTGTCTTTCAGATGAGAGGTTATAACTAAGGCCCTCTCAATGTGAAAAGATGCCATGGAAAAACACTAGAAAAGTTTTCACATTGCAGTGGCAGTTTGCTGTATGCCATTTGGCTACTATGCCTCCTGTACTACAACACTGACTACAGTCCACCAGTGCCTATTTGGTTTCAGAGATCTCTGGGACCTCCTGTGCTTGCAAAAGGCGCTAAATGAATGCAAGTCTTTTCCTTCTGATATCCCAGTCATGGATTGAGTAGCCAAGAATGATGCTCATTGAGGATTCTAATGATAATTTTGTTAGATTACTCTCTCTAATATTCATTTCAAAAATATAATCGCAGATCAAATATGGTAAATGTGACAGTGGTATGTTAGGCATTTCTCTGGTACCCCGGGAATGAATGATGTTAATTTCTTCTGTGAGTTTAATGGACAGTAAAACTGAACAGCCTAAAATAACTATCCAAGTCGATTCAGACTCTTCCAATGGGCCAGGTTAAAACCATTCCCAAATAACCAAGAGGAATGTGTTCCCTGCCCAGAAACTCTATAGACCAATCATTCTTGACATGTATGGTCACTGGCAAATTATACATCATTTCCAATGGAAGTCAATTCTACTCACCCAACAATCTGAGTGGAAATGCTGTCTCCATTTCTCACTTGAAGTTTTCAGATTTTGCGCTCCAGTCATCTTAAACCCCTATCACATCTTCAATATAACTTCCTTGCACAAAGCCAGCTCTTCCTCCCAGTGGGCGTAACTTGCCAACTCAACTGGTTCATCACTGAAGTCCCAAACTGATCCAGTCCTCACATGCCTCCAGGCATACACAATATTCTTCTCGCTGACTTCCCCAGGACAATTGGGCTGAGCAGAAAACACTGTGACAAACATCCAGAAGATCATTTAATGATACCCAGGCCCTTCCGGGACCTTCCTCCCTTCCCTTCACCCTCTGACTCCAACCCCTCTCCCAACTATATCTCCTGTCATGTATTTACTAACTCTTCTGCCCTTCTGCTCTCTAATGGTGAACGTTCTGTACTCAGCAAAGGTCTGAGTTTTATCCCTCTATACCCTTGCCTTAATGAATTTCGGGCATGACACAATGACGAACTCTTCTTCTGAAGCCTTCGCCTCTATGCCTATTTCTTTGGACAAGAGTTCTCTCCCCGTCCTACAGACCCCTTCACCCACCTCCAGCACTGCCCTTCCACCTGGAAACCTTCCTCTGGCCCTTTAGCCGCACTCGATCTGTTCATTGAGAACTGCCAACATGGCATTGGTCGCCTTGATTTCTCTCCCCTCCCTTACCCATTTGAACCTATTTCCCTCTGAACTGACTGCACTCTGTACTCTCAGATCCAACCCTGACTTTGTCATCAAGCCTGCCAACAAGGGTGGTGCTGTGGTAGTCTGGTGTACTAATCTCTACATTGCAGAGGCTGAGTGCCAGCTCTCACATATCGCCTCCTGTCCCCTGCTGGACCATGACCCCACCATGGAACATCAAGACATTGTATCAGCTACGGTCACTTATCTCATCTTGTAGCCCCCCTATCCTGTACACCTTGATTCTAACTTTTGCCCAAAATCCACAAACCAGAACTGCCTGAGCAGACCCTTGTTTCTGCCTGCTCCTGCCCCACAGAACTCATCTCTTCCTACCTCAATGTTTTCTCCCTTTGCCCAGTTCCTTTCTATTTACATCTGCGATTATTTTGATGCATTACACCAGTTTCAGAATTTCCAGTTTGCGGGTTCCAGCTGCCTCCACTTTACTGTGGGTGTGCCATTCTTTTACACATCTATTCCCCAATAGGATGGTCTCAGGGCTCTCCACTTCTTCCTGAAAAAAAAGCCTGAACTGTCCCCATCCACCAACACCACCCTCCTCCATCTAGCTGAGCATGTCCTCACCCTGAACAACTTCTCTTTTAACTCCTCTCACTTTCTTCAGGTAAGAGGGGTGGCCATGGGTACCTGCATGGGTCCTAGTTATGCCTGTCTCTTCATGGGGCACGTGGAACATTCCTAGTTCCAGTCCTATTCCACCCCCACCCACAACTCTTTCCATGATATATCGATGACATCTTGGTGCTGTTTCCCTCTCTCTTCTGGAATTGGAAAAAATTTATCAATTTTGCTTCCAATTTCCAACCCGATTTTACCTTCAGCTGGTCCTTCTCTGACTCCTCCATTCCCTTCCTCAACATCTCCGTTTCCATTTCTGGTGATAGGCTGACCACCAATGTCCACTGCAAACCCACTGATTCCCAAAGTTACCTAGACTATAGATCCTCATATCCCACTTCCTATAAAGACTCTATTCCATTCTTCCAGTTTCTCTGTCTCTCTCACACCTGTTCTGATGAGACCAACTTTGGCAAAGGGGCATCCAAAATATCCACCTTCTTCCTCACAGGAGGATTCTCCAGCACTGTGGTTGACAAGGTCTTCAGTGGAGTCTGACACATCTCCTGCACTTTGGTCCTTACTCCCTCTCTTCCCTTCCACCACAACAATAGGGCTTTTAATGATTGTAATGCGGTCAGCCAGGTGGACCTCTTAGAATATGAGTTCCCTGATTGGGGCTGTTAATCTGGTCCAATCAGGAAGCCCTGGCTGACAGGTATAAACAAGAGCCTCAGAGGTTCTGTTCGCTTTGAGAGCTGTTTCTGAGGGAGTTGGGTCAGTGTCAAGGACTCTCCATGTGTAAATAAAGGGTGACTTGGCGACTGGATACTGGCCTCTGTGGAGTTGTTTCAGTGGCCATGAGAGAAAAACACATTCCTGAAGAAATTTTCTCACAACGGCCTCCTTCGAGTTTGGGGTAAGCATTTTTGGCATCATGCCTTTGTTTAGGAAGCTTGACTCATTTGATCCTGTCATTGAAGATAGTATGTGGAAAGAATGTGATATTTTTTCTGGGCAAATGACACTCGGGAAGATGTAAACCAGCAAGTAATTCTCCTGACAGCTTGTGAGCCCACAGCTTTTTTGGTTATTAGGGGTCTAAATTTCTCTGAAAAAAATCCTTTTAAGAGTTGATGGATTTAGTTCAGGAATATTATGACCCAAGCCTCCTCTAATTCTAAGATACTATTGGTTTTACTCAGCAGTTTGAGAACCAGGGGAATTTGTTTCGAGATTTTTGACAAGGTTAAGACAAGTGACAGAGGCGTGTGATTTTGGTTTAACATTTAATGAGATGCTGAGAGGTGGTTTGGATGTGGGATTAATGATGTAACCGTGCAAAATCGCCTACTAGCTAAAGTCCAACTGGACTTCAAACAGGGACCACAACTGGCTTTATCATTGGAAAATGTGGCAAGTGGAGGGTATTCCGATGGATGAGCTTGAGGAACACCACTTGAGTGAATGCAATTGCATAGCCTCACTCAGGACATATTCCGTACAGAGGGACTCTACGACAGCCCACAGCAAAACCCTAAAACAAAGCCAAACCTCGGCCAAACAGTTAAAATTTTCTTCAGGAATCAGACAGCAGGCTGTTATAGTTGTTGCTGGTAATCAAACTCGAAACAGTAAAAGTCTCCCACTCGATCTAAATTGAGTAAGAGAACTCATAGGC